CCTGGGCTTCGCCGAGTAAAGGCTACTTTGAGGAGCAGGACTGTGGGGCAGCTCTGTGTCAGACCCGCAAGCCTTGACAGAGGCTCATTCCTGAATGTGTACTTCAAATTCAGCTATGGGGGTTCTGTTCTCCACTACTGCCAGTTACTAGAAGTCTAGATAAAATAGTAATCACTCCTGTAGGCTGGAGGTGATTCAACAAGATACTTCATCTAGATTGGCTGAAGCTTGAAAAGCTTTAAAGCAATGCATCCCTAAAGCTGACTGTGGGCGGAGTTCTACATAAAAGGAAACCGATGGAGCTCAAACAGATGCCCACAGCTTTCAACCCAAATTCCAGGTTTGGAATTCCAGAGGCTGTACTTTCAAACTCTTAATTAGTCTATAATACTTAGAAAAACAGTGTTCTCAACTTACGGGGAGAAAAATGAAGACTATCAGGCCTGGTGTACAGGCCTGTGATCCTAGCTACTTGGGAGGCTGTGGCAGGAGGATAAGAAGTTCAAGGCCAGCCTGCACATCTTAGTAAGACCCTGCTCAAAATGAAAGAGTAAAGAGGAGGAGATGCAGCGCAGTGGTGCAGCAAGGGCCTGGGTTCATTTCCCCGTATTTGGGAATGGGGGTGGGAGTAGGGGTGAGGCAAAGAACACAGGCAATTAACTGCTAACTGACAATATTCCAGCCGGAAAATATTTAGGGGAAATTAAAAAAAAGCTGCATATAAAAACAGTGAAAACATTTCTAAACAAAGCAGAAAGCATTCTCTCTTTTATCTAAAAGAGGCTCAGAATCTGGAGGACAAAGTTTAAACACAGCAGGCACAGCAGGCCTTTCTTAGAAGCCCAAGCTATTCCTTAACTCTCAGTGTAAGCCCCTTCTCCACTCCCAGGAAACAGCTTCCCTGGTATGAACACGTCATTAGCTTAAGAAGTCAACTAGAAAAGGCAGGTTCACAAAAATGAGCTGTATTACAGGCAGACAGTTTCTTGGTCTTGAACCTGCCCCTCTGGTGAATATCAGAATGACCAAATTCTTCCTTGTAACATTGTAAAGACTTTTTTCAAGACTTTTATAGAGAAATAGCTTTCAAACACTCACACTACACACACAGAACCTCAAGTACTAACACACTTCAGTACTAAAATCTAGCCACAAAAAGCAGATGCGTCCGCAGGAAGCTTGGAAACGGAGCGCAGTTCTCTGAAGAGTTGAGAACTTTGAGTTATCTTAGTAGTGGAGACCCTGAGTCATCAGGCGGTCGGTGGGGCTGACAATGAGAGCACAGGAGCTTAAGGTGCGTGTGCTAGGTGGCAAGTCCTCTACAGGGCGGCAGTACAGATGTATGTATGATTGCCTACGTGAGTCCCAGTGGGCAGAGGCTCTCAGGGCTCCTCTGGGAAGCAAATGGGAGTTTCGAGGCAAGCAGAATGAGAAGGCCAAAACATGACAGGTTGATGTGCTCGGAGTTCAGTGCGACACATGCTTCTGTAAAGGCTGATGTGGTAAAGGCAGTGGCTCTCACCCTTCCTAATGCCGTGGCCCTCTAACATAGCTCCTCCTGTTGTGGTGTCCCCAATCATAAAATTATTTTCATTGCTACATCATAACTGTAATTTTGCTACTGTTATGAATCGTAATGTAAATATTTTTAGAGATAGAGGTTTGCCAAAGCAGTCTGTGACCCACAGGTTGAGAACCACTAGCTAAAGGCTTGTCCCTAAACTCTGGCTAAGGGGTGTCTAGCTCAAAAGGGCTTGGGAGCTGGTAAAGTAGTGCCCACTGGCGGACTCACAGACAGTGGCATTGTTGGGGTTTCTGAGGGCATGCTCTCGCTGTCCCTCTGAGTCTCTCTTTCTCTGTTCTAGGCCACCACGAGGTAGAGCAAGCCGTGGCAATCACTCCCGCTGCCGCCACATTGTGTCTTGCCTTACCCTAGACCCCAGCAATGGATCCAGCATAACTCAGGCTGAAACCAAGAACCAAGACCAGTCTTCCCTCCAGTGAGCTGCTTGTGCCTGGCATTTTGTCAGTGACAAAAGTCTGCTAACAAGGGGAGTAGAGGCTGGCAGATCTCTTTGAGTTTGAGGCTAGCCTGGTCTAGAGAGCAAGTGGCAGGACAGTCAGGGCTGTACAAAGAAATCTTGTCTCAATCCCCTCTCCTCCGTCAAGCGTATTAACATTTTTACATGAATATATTAAAGTCACTGTTACCTTCACCTCTCTTATGTTCACCATATATCTTTTTTTTGAGTGATTCATTTTAAGATATAAAGGTGAAAGAGCAATTATAAAAAAATACAAATTAAAACCTAGGTTGCATATTGTTTAGCCCCCACTGCAAGTTATCCATAGGAATGGCGTCTCTTAATGACACTCAAGTATAGCATCCCAATATAATTACCAACCTGCATTAATGCAGTTCTCACGGAGTGCCACAACAACAACAAAACAACAACAACAAAAACAACAATCAAGACCCAAAAAAACCCCAAACCTGCCCAGTCATCAACAGGGAGTCCAGGGAACTGAAAGGAAGGCCTAGATTAGCCAGAAATATGCAGGGGAACTTAATCACTGTAATTTAAATTTTGTCACGGAGTCCCAGGTACAAGCTCTTTAATGCACTGTCAAGAGATCGCCACACTAATTGCTGCTCCTGTCTTCTGGGGACACACACACACACTCTAATTTGCTGTGAGTTCAGCTTCCCAGGCAATGCACATTTGGTGGCTTAGTCCTTCTTCCTCCAGAAAGGGGAGGCTGCCACAGCTCTGATTATCCAGCTCACTCTGCCAAGACCAACAGGCCCAAGTTACAAAGCACGCCTGTTTACCAGAGTCTAGAAACTGGTGTGACTCAAGCCTCCGGTGGGTGGGAAGCCCTGTTGCCCTCCTGAAAGACCACATTCTTCTCTACCATGCTTGACTTCAACAGCACGGTATTTCTAAGCAATGACTTCAATGATTCCACATGACCCATCTGGAGCAGAAAATCTAGATAATCCTTCCGAGGCCTTGGCAGCTCGGTTAGCACATCTGGACGACGAAAACCCAGGTGCTCTTCCAGTGAGGGGGTGTGCACATGGAGGGGGAGTGCCTGCCTCCAGTGGGGGTGCAGAGGCCGATCCCTGGACTTGTCAGCAGCACAGCCTCAGGTTTTTGTGATTTGGCACCAGGGTCCAGCTCTTTCCAACCTGCTCTGTGGTCACACCATCATGTTAGGAGGGACAATCCCTCCCTAATTCACTTTCTGCTGCCTCAGGTTAGGCTCGGGATCTTCGTCAGGTGGACTACTGTCATCAGGAAAAGTTTCCCTTTCTAAAATGAGCAACTGAAAGAAACAGGGATCTAGGTTTCTAGAAACTGCTCTGTTCTGACAGGTGCCGAGGGAGGGCGCAGTCTTGCTGAAGTGATGGATGGCCATGCCAGAGGCAGCCAGCAGGTTTGTACTATTAACTGCATTTGGGGCCCGTTTTTCTGTTCTACTTTCTAAACACATCTCTTACCCAACCAAATGAACCAAATTCTGTAGCTCTTGAATTATAAGACAATGGGATTCTGGGTATTCAAGATTCTGAGGCCACTTTCTCAAGGTCATTGCTGCTTGAGGGCCATAGAGTTTCCAGACCAGAATCATTTAAAAAAAACTTCTGGTAACCTCTGAAGTTACACCCATAAAGTCTCACCAACATGATCACACACATGTGAGCTGAACAAGGTGACACAACAAACACGCCAAACTGCATGGGGCAAAGCCCATGAGGCCTCAGTCCAACACAAAGAACTACAGGCAATTCAGGAAAGCTGGGGGCAGAAAAGATGGCTATCCCAGAGAAGGGTGCACCAGCTGGCTGTCCAGTGGCAAAAGTGAGAGGTTACATTTAGGAATATATATGTGTATATATATATGCATGAAATTACAATTAATGAAAAAAGAGGCCATGAATTTAACAGAGGGGGGAATATATGAAGAGGGTTTGGAGGGAGAAGAGGAAGGGAAGAAATGTAACTAAAAATATAAACAACAACAAGCTGGGATGTGGGGATGGCAAACACAAGTACAGTTCATGGAATGCATCCACTCACACAGCCTTGACCTTGAAAAGAAACTTAAAACCTCCCCACTAGGACCAGAGATACAGTAAGAAAGTTGGCTCCTAAACTGACTAGGGTACGCACAAGAAAAGTAGATGTCTTTTCTCACTAGGACGATCTGGGGTTTACTGGAAGATTACATACATGACTTCTCATTTGGAAAATTCAAAACCTAAACTCTTCTTCTCTGCCACTTTTCTGTGGGGCAGCCAGGTTAGACAGCCACACACTGACCAGAAACTGGCAACACTCAAAGGTACAAGGAGAAATGACTAGAGATGCAAAGATGCTTAGCAGAAATGGAATGCTTCCTCCCCAAGACAGGAAGTCCTATGCATTTATTTTGGTTAGCGAAGGGGTGAGCAAAGACACTGGAGAAAGCGTGCTCTCTGATGTGGGAGCAGCATGCCACATTTCAGCTATGCTTTCTTGATAAGTATCTTCATCACCAGTGTGTCACTGTCAGGCACCCCCTGGCAACATGGGGTAAACGATGGGCTAGGGTATGGAGCTGGGAAATAGTGAGCTGGGCACCTAAGGGAAAGCTGCCAATCTTGGGAGAGGCCACTTTGTTTAAAAAGTATCTTCAAAAGTCTGTAGCACTCTATATTCATTATATATCAATGCTGAAAATTAAAATTAAAAACCTCTAATTCTGGAATGCAGTTAGGGAAATTAAAAAACAACCCAACTTTACAGTGAATAAATCTGCAAAATTTTCTCCAAATTTGAAATAATGCATTAAGACTGCCGAACTATTCTGCTGAGAAATAAGCAGCATAATATCAAAATCCAGTGCTATAAATAAATATTCACAAAGTCCAGTGCCCCTGAGAACATCACTGCACACTAAAGCGGGGGAGGTGGGGAGCCCTGAGGGCGGGCAGGGGCTGGGAGGGCGCTTACCTGGTGTGTGACGCAGCATCATTTATGCTGAAGGTGCTGTTCTCCCTGGTCAGCGGGCTTGAGCCGCCCTGGCTCTTGCTGTGGATGTCCAGGCTCAGGGAAGACTCTGCTTTCCTGTCCATGCCATGGCCCTCAGTCTCTAAGGTCCGATCTGCCAAGGACAGCACTTCACTGGAGCTGTGCCACAGGGGGGCCACCTTCTCTTTGCCTGGCCCCGAACGAGGTGACGAGGTGGCGCCCAGGGAGGCCGTGCTGCCGTGGCTGAGGCCATACGAGGTGGTGTCGATGCCGCTGTCAGCAGAGGTGCCCTGCAGGTAGTTATAGCTGTTGAGCTCGGATTCCGTGCGGTCCCCGTCATACCACTTCTCGTCACTGTGGGCACTCGATGCGTTGCTGGAGAGGGTGTTGCTGCTGGAGTGGCTGGAGTAGTGGCTGTCAGACTACAACAGAAACAAGAGTTACGCACAGGCAGGGGGTCATGCACTGAACACCAAGAAAGAATCACAGGAATGGCACTCTGGTATGTGTCTAACTGCAAAGCTCGAGTTAGTCAAAATAAGGGAAGAGTGCCTGGAAGTATCACGAGGACCAGCAGACTCATCTATGCTGTCCCTCTCAGGACAGTACATGCCCTCCAAGAATCCACTTTCCGTTATTTCCCTTAGATCAACACGACAACACAATGACACGGAGCCCACTCTAGCCAGGAAAAACAGGCTGTCGTTGATACCTTTATATTTTAACACAGAAAAGAAATGACATTTCCAATGGGCTGATAAAGAAAAAGCATGCTTTACTCTAAAAGCCATGCTCAGTAGCTAGCAGGCAGAATCTGAGATGAATTAAGTTTGAACTCTTGTGATTTCTCAATTAGCATCTGCTTAGGAGACAGCTTTCCAACCAATGCTGAAAGTATCTAGAGAAGGCAAGATAATTCAATGGGGATTATTTTTGGGTTGGGAGGAACTGGTCTCATCAATAAAGGGTGTTAAGAATATTGGATATTCACACGACCAAAAAAAAAAAAAAAGTTGAATCCTTACTATATGGAAAGAAATTCTAGAAGACCTAAATGTTATAGTATTAAAACATGAGACAAAGACAAAGTCTCTGTGACACATGGTTTCTCAGATATGATACCACAAGGGCAAGAAATAGAAGGAAAAACAAAACAAAAATATGTAAATTGTGTTTTATCAAAACTAAAAGCTTTTGTGTTTCAAGTAACGCAATTAAGAATGGTGTGATGTGTGAACAGGAACCTTTCTAAAGAAGACACTTAAATATCAACAGTCACACCGAAAGGTGCTCAGTGTTGCTGGCCATGGGGATGTAGATCAAAGCGCAGCGAGGGCTTTACACAGACAAAAACACCTTCAAACAAAACAGCAGACAAAAGGGGCATATTATCAGGAATGAAAACTGGGGTGGTAGCTGCAATTCCATTTTCGTACAGATTGAAGAGAGACAGAAATATCTATTCACAAAAATATGCATGTTCATAACAGTGTTAATCGTAACAGACAAAAGTAGACCCAAGACAAGTCACTACTAACTCATGAACAGATTTAAAATAGGCCACACAAACATGAACAGCTCTTCATCCACCAACGGAACACTATTCAGTCACCAAGGAATGAACTGCAGGCGCAGCTACAACACTGCCTAAGAATTTTATAACCGGGGTTAAGTAAAAGTTAGACCTAGAAGGATACATATCACATGATTACCATTTCTGTGCAATGGCAAGAGCAGGTATACCCGTAAACACTCAGGGTAGATTAGTGGTTCCCTGGGCTTGGGAGGGATATGAAATTGGAGGTGATGACTAAAGGGTACAGGCTGCCTGGGTAATGGAATGTTCTGAGATTAGATCATGGTGCTGACTATACGACTCTTCAAGTATGTGTATTATTATAAATTACATTTATTTACTTTGGTGTATGAGCATTGCACATGCCACAGTGAGGGTGTGGAGGTTGGAAGCAGTCTGCTGGTGTTGGTTTTCTCCCTCCATCACGTGGGTTCCAGGGATTGAACTCAGGTCATCTGGCTTGGCGGCAAGCGCCTTTACCTGCTGAGTCATCCTGAGCCCCTCTGAAGACATACATTTAAGTGGGCAAATCTGATGGCATGTGACAACTCAAAGAAGATGTGTACAGCGGCTTAGATGCTTAGTAAGAACATTTCCGAGATTCCACCAAAGAAACAAGCTTTCAAAAAGTATCTGAAGAGAATTCTGGTGTACAGATGGTTCTGCAAGTTGAACCCAGGACCTTGCATATATTGAGCAAATGTTCGGCAAGGAGATAGATCCTCAGCCTGTGAGGTGATATTTAAATAAGAGAGAGAGACAGGAAGCCTAGCCATTTACTGGAGACAAGAGAATGAGCAGAAAGAACAGGCACCTGTGCTGGAGAAGAAGAGAGGAGCCCTTTACTGGCCAACAGCGGGGCAGGAGGGTGCCTGTTCTACCTCGAAGTGAAACCCATACCTTACACAGGCACCAACCGCAGCACTTCATTCATGGAACTCTACCTTTTCTTGGTAACATTCCTGTTTTATTTGTCTTTATTTCTTTTAGATGGCACCTCAGTATGCTGCCTGAGTTGCATACTCCTACCTCTCTGCCTTCTGAGTGCTGGGGTGACAGGTGTGTAGCCATCATGCCTGGGCATTATAGCACAACTTCTCCAGCTTTGCCCCTGAGCTGCCATCTTGGGGCCCTAGCCTCTGAGTCTTAAGGTGCCTGTCCTGAGTGAGAATGAGCTGAAATGTAATCAGAAATTTTCTAGTAGCCAGAAAGTAAGAAAAAATAGGCAAAATTAATTTAAGTAACACAGCTGATCTGACCAATGTGTCCCAAATGCTATTTTATTATGTAGTTGGTATCACATTGATGGTGAGAAAGGGAGAATTCAGATTGGTTCAGATCAATCGTATACAAACAGAGTTGTGAAGTACAAGGATCCTAGCACATCTACAGCACAAAGTCTAGGACACAGACTCGCTTGCTTTTTAGCTTCAACATTCATTTCTTTAGAAGAAAACTTGTACAACATGAGCATCCCGAAAGTCAGCAAACATGAAATGGAGAATTCCCCACCCTAACAAATACACTTTCCATAAGGAGACAGAAGGAGGGGGCAAGGAGTGAATGATAACTTGCAAAATGCTGCGGGTACCCACAGATGATGAGAAACCATGTTATTAGAACAGAAGGACAACATGCTGCCATGGCAGACAGGAGCAGCAGAAGAGCTGTGGTCAGCTGCTGCGTGCCCCAACTGGTGCTCTGACCTAGCCTCACCCATGCTCCCAGCTATGTGGACGGTGGACCCTTCGTCACACAGCTCTCCTCCTAAAGACCTGTGAGGATGCAGGTCTATTCCTCAGGACAAGGTTTACATCAAAGCAACTCAGAATCTGGGCTGAGCAAACCCCAAGTCTAATGTACCTCATCTTCTGCCACAGAGTGGGGGTGGAGCAGCGGGCCCCATTTTCACCTCACAGGAATTGCAGCATACTGCTGGAAGCCAGTTACCTCGTTAAGCTCATGGTGAACTTACATGGCCTTGTTTGTTCGGAGACAAGTGAACCACTGGATCCTGCCGCATTAATCTCCCGCTGGGGCTCTCTCTGAAAGCTGGCAGTACCTTTGATACTGCTGGGAGATGGCATGTAGGCTCTGCAACACAGCACAGGACATTATGGTGCAGGCCCTGAACAGGTCTGAGCACAGCTGACACACGGAGATGGCCTGCCACCTCATGTCTCAGAGCTCACTGACCAGCCAACTCTGGGCATCAGCAGCAAGCTTGTGAGGAGTCTAGACAAGAGACAGCATGTCAGAAACTGGGTGGCTGATGGATAAAGCTCGCAGCTCGTGACAACAGGTCACATCATACACATCAGCATAGCCAAATGCCACCAAACCAAAGGCCACACACAATGCAGCAAAGTCTGGAACCAACTGTTGCTTTGGGGAAGTTTAGAATACACGGGTTAAACTCATGAGGCTAGTCTAGCTGGTGTCCATTCCCTAGACAGGCACGGATGCAATCACACGTTACTTACCGTGACATTTTGGGAACATTTTACCTGTGAATTCATGCTGCTCGAGGACAAAAGAATTGCATTCCTGAGGTCCTCTATAACTGTAAGCTGAGCACGACAGAACAGACACACAGCAGCTAGTTTACTTCAAGTGATCGTTTCCTTTCGGGCGCCATGTTGGCGTTCAAGATGGGGTCCCCAAAACAAGAGGCAGTATTTAACCCAGACTGCCTAGAGCTAACAGCAGAAATTATGGACTTCCCCAACACCCTTCCCGACCTGCAGAGGACTAGGCAGCCCCTGGAGTGTGACTAGCCATTATTTCCAGGAGCAGTGAGGTAGAAACACAAGCATCCACAGTACGAGTGAGCCTGTCCACAGTGTCAGGAAGAACTAACTAGTTCACAACTCATTGTTAGCGAGGTGGATGACCTGCTTAGCAGGTTCCAGTTACATCCACACCAAGTGTGGGAAGGTCAACTCTACGTATCACGTTCTGAACCAGGAAGAGTCTAAGACTCACTCTTCTTATATTTTCCCTAGGATGGCTGTCAGGTATATCTAACCTGAGCCCCACAGGACACATGGAGCTGAGGACAGTTATGAATGCACCCAGTTGAAAAAACAAAAAAGATGAACTTACTTAAAACATAAGATTCACAGACGCGCACACACACATGCACACAAAATACTCTGTTTAGCAATAGGGTCTGAGTATGCAGACCTGGTTGACTGGGCTGGCCTCGAACTCACAGAGATCCCCTGCTTCTGCCCCCTGAGCTCGGGGATTGAAGGTGTGCACCACCCTATCCAGCCACATCTTATGGGATATCCCCCCCACTCTTTTTTTGTAACCCGACTGTGTAGCTCTTGAGTGTGACCTTTACGGATGACCATGTCTTATCTCAATGCCAAAAGGCTGGGCAGCCTAGACATCAGTCAAGCCCTAGATTTCCTCTGATGTGCCAACTAGGAAAGGCTGGCTTATTTTCCCAGGATACTGGGACCCCCAATATAAAAATGTATTTTAGTGTTTTAAAATAGGATATGTTTTGCAATAGGGTCTGACTAGTTCTGGCTCACTAGCACTGTGGACTGTTCTGATCTAGAACTCACTCTGTAGCCCAGAATAGCTTTGAACTGATGGCATTCCCCTGACTCAGGCAGTCAGCCCTAGTTTGGGATTAGAGGTGTGAGGCAGCATGCCCAGCTGGTAGCTCTCGAGAGAACAGAAGCCATCAATTACAGTCCCCACAGTATGGTGAAGTCCTCCCTGGCCAGCTCCAGAGCAGCCAACTAGCAGTTTGACCTAAAGCTGTACTGTATGGAAGGATGAACCAGTGTGCTCAGGAGAGCCTCCAAGTTCATGCTGGCATCTTACGCTGTAGAGAGTGAGATGCCACTACACTGAAGTGGACGCAGGAGGGCGACAACCAGAGAGCGCTTCATGTGAGGGGACGAATATGGATGTATGATGAGCCGTGTAACTTCCGGTCCCTAGACACCTTCTGATTCCCCACGAGGCCTCCCAGGAGTGGAAGCGTGACATTGGGCATACAAAAGGCTTGCTGCAGCATTGGTCAGAGCGTGTTCAGATGTGATGTTACCATCCCAACAGTACCAAAACATATGGGATAAAGTCATTCTGCCAAGGCAGGGAGGCAGACAAAATATGCTCCAGTCTTCTGAGTAGGGGTTGGGTGGGATAAGACTGTGGAGCGACAGATGGTTTTAACAACAAGGCACATTGGATGTAGTTACTAGAACAAAGAGTGTCTTTGGGACCTGGGAATCAACATTTGTCAACCTCAACTTTCATACTTTTACCTGGGGACAGGCATTTACACAAGACAAAACCATCAACCATCAGGCATGAAATGTGCATCTCCTTATCCCGTATCGATGATAATAATTTCAGAAAAAAGAAAAGCATTGTGGGAAGGAGGTACAGGATGACAGGATGAAAACCTCAACCTGACATTTCACAACCAAATCTTTGATGGATGAATTGTGCTGACATCAAATTTCTGATGTGTCTTTTAAAGTTTAATTGTTTAATGGCAAAATTTCATTGTTACAAGCAGTGTTCATGTTGCCATTATAGATGGATAGATTTCTTCTCCATATCCTCAGAGGGTCCCCTACTGCAATTTTTTTTTTCTATCCTGCCATTTTGTTAAGATATTTTCATAGCTGTTAGCTTAAAAGTGGTGGGAAAAGAATTTTTTTAAAACTATCCATTGGCAGGGCAGAGTGTCTAAACTAGCTACAAATGTGACCAAACAAAAATTGAGTCTCTTCCCGCCTTGTACAGAGATTTCGTTTCCCTTAAAATTCAACATGAAGCATACTAATCTGCCCAAGTACAAGGCAAAACCAACCAACCAACCAACCAACCAACCAACCAACCAACCAACCAACCAACCAATCAAAACAAGCAAGCAAAAGAAGGTACTTTGATACAAGAACTCATCAGACTGCTTTAAACATAATCCCTGGGTCACTGTGGTTGAAGTTTGGGGTCACTGAGAACCCTTGGTCTTATCTGTTGTGTTCATGTGTACACAGTCTAGCAGGGATTAATTCTCACGAACACTTGCTACCTGGGCCTGTCCTTTATAGCACCACACTTTGATGATATCAAGGTCACCTTGCTCTGAAAACACTTTCATGTAAATCACTTACTTACCCATCTGGTCGGCAATGCTGTCCTCACTTCTTTGCCAGCTGGGTGTGGATTTTCCACTGCCACCAATATCTGACTGGGTGTTCTGCCTGTCGATGGAAGCTGGGGATCTTCGGCTCACCCCAAATCTGTGACGATTCCCCAGACAAAAAAGCAGGACACATCAGAATCTTCACCCACAAGGTGATGAGAGTCCTGGTTCTGATGACAGGTATTACCAGTTTCTGCTTGCACGTCTGTGCACGTAGATACAGATCTCTACTCAGGAAGGTACGCTTATTATTAAAATCAAGTGGTAACTAGGGCAAGAAGTTTGCTGACTGAAGGCACAGAGAGTAAGAATCCCAGGCTACATAGTCAAGTTCGGATGGTTATTCACCATGAACCAACTTTAAGTTACCCAGACACATCTTCTGAATGGTGCATCTTGGGGGATGAAGGTGTCTCTTTTAATTCAATGATGCACTAAATCATGAAGTCAGTCCTGGAGCAGTCGCTTTCTGAGCACTCTACTGTGGTCTGAGAAAGCAAGGACAGCTACCATTTACGTTACATGCAAGCCACTTTCTAATTGTATGAACTTTAAACTGCTACTGGGAAGAGCAGTTTGGAAGACAGTAAGCTGGCATGTAAGACGGTAAATGTCTGCTTTTAGAAAGAATTGTAGCTATTTAGTGAGCCATTTTGACTTCCCCCTTGAAAAAAATGTTTAACTACATCATATGAAATACTCTATCTCTATTAACATCAGCAATATGAATTCTGAGACTAGGAAGGGCCAGCGTGTAGAATTCAAGTATTAATGTGGAGATTTACCGCATTCCCCATGTTAATAATGAATTCCTAAAGACCAGATTAGGTAACATGGGCCTCTATTGATTCTGTATTGACTGACGCCTGTGCCTTACCTGGCATGACTGACACACGGCCAGGACCTGCAAGAGCTATACTGGGGAGGGTAGGACCCCCGGGAGTGGAAAAACATGGAGCTGACTTGAAACTGGTGACCCAGTAGAACTAAACTCAGCCCCCGAGCCCTGTCTCATTGTCTTTACTCACAACACGGCAACTCCATCTCACAGTGCAAGGCAGCAACTTCTAGGTGAAAGACTTGCAAAGTATAGAAGGCTACGAAAGTATTTATTCCAGTAAGTAAAATCGTTATGAAATTATCTTCCCAGGTGCTGTGGCAAAAGTTGCTTGTTTAGAAGCCCCCTTTGTAAGGCTCCCTGTGAAGAATCATCCATATGGCATGCAGCTGAAGACAAACCTTGATTTATGAATATCGGGAGGCGGGAGACTCACAATTCTGGTTTCTCCTTGTAAGCAGTGAGAATGCTCATACGGACTTTTGGGATCTATTCTAAATGTGCATCAAAGGAAGCCTTTTTGAAACTAGGATAAAGATTCCAGTTAGACACAGATTCCAATCTTGCCTTCCTTTTTTTTTTTTTTTTTTTTTTTCAGCAGAAGAAACAAAAAAGTAACTTTCTCCATCTCAGAATTTAAAGAACCATTTTCTATCTCCACTTAGGTAAACCTCAAGACCCGTTTAAGTTTTGCCTTGAGAAACATTTCCACCTGCAACCTCTCAATCTCAGTTCTCACCTATGTGCTCTGCATCAGAGAACTGAGACAAACTTCTTGTCCTTGAGGGCTTTAGACAAAAGGTCTACATCTCACACTTGGCCTCATCCTGGAGAGCTTTGCCGTGCCCGTGTGGAGACACAGCTGATGTTCTGAGGTACTGGTGGCATCTCAAAGCAGTTCAAAGTGATCGCTCCGCTCAGACAGGACACACTCAGTGGCCAGGATGCAGCCTCCCAAACTGCCTGCTTCTTTACTGCAGGCTAGTACCCATGAAGCAGAATTCTTCATAATGGCTGGAACCTTCTCTATAACTTTAATTTCTTGCTTCTAGTTGCCATAGCAGACGAGCATACTCCCTCAGTAGGGACAACTAGAAGGAAACTCTCATTGATGGCATCAAAATGCATTTTCAAGATAGGAGAACAGCCTCAATGCTGTGTTTCTTTTGTTTGGTTTTGCTGAGGATGGTATCCAGGGCCTTGTACTTGTTAGGCAAAAGCTCTATCACTGAGCTACATCCCCAATCCAGTCTTTAAACTGAATTGCTTTGTCATTACCTCTGACTCCCACCTTACGTTTGTATGGTGTCTTTTCTCCCCTATTCAAATAGCATGGGTGCTACGAATCTCCCTATGCAGTTTCACCTCCCAACTGATTAGGATAATCTCAGTGTCCTAAGACCAAAGAATGAACAAACTCATGCCACACAAGTGCAGACACAGGTCCACTGAGGTGGAGGGAAGGCACCAATATGCTCACCGCCCATGGAGAGCCAGCATACGCTTAGTTATCGTTATGATGTCATGCACAACAAACACTAACAGGGGCCAGCAGAGCACAAACATGTCAACAGTGACGTGGACACAGCTGCTCTTACTGGGTAAGAGTAACCTCAGGATAAAACGTCATTCACGGGCAACAGTGAGATGCACCAGAGAGGGAGCCAGCCACCTCCTGCCTCACAGATGTGCAATAGCTTTGTAGTGGCGAATGGCTGAGTGGAGCGGTGCACAACTTTAATCCTAGCACTTGGAAGAAAACAGAGACAGGAGGATCCCTGAGTTTGAGGCCAACACCAGGACTACACAGAGAAATCGTGTCCCCCAAAACAAAACAAACATACAATCTGAAAGCCAAACAAAACAACAACTTCTCAAAGAAAACCAAAAACCAAACACCACCAAAACAGCTTTAGTATAAAGAACACTATATCCTCATCCTCAGTTTTCTAAAAGATCATCCCCAGGTGCAAAAGAAATTGTGTGGTGTCTTCGGCAATCCAAGGTGAGCTCACGAAAGATCACAAGCCCTTCAACACCACCGAGAGCACAGGGTTAGCCACAGCGTACCCAATGGACTAATCCTTGTTAACAGAAACAGCTCTCACGGTTTTTAGCAGCAACTACACGAGTCTCCACCTGCTTTGTCATTATACATTTAGAGTATATCACGGACAGGAAAAAAAAAACACCTTTTTTTATTGTTCACTCATTTACATTTAGTGTTGTACTAATGATGGAGGGATGACGACGGTCCTCATTTTAAAGGCAAATCATACCGTTTAAAATCTAATTAAAATAAGAAATAATTAGTTGGGTTTGTCGTGCAGTACTCAGAGTGACTCACAATTCCTCTGCCGGGACTGATGAAGAAAAGCTAAAATTATTTTCTAGTCACTGAAGCAATTACAGTAAGATATGTGTGCTTCAGACAGGCTACTGGGAGAAACAACAGTGTGAGTAGAGGTATTGTGGAGTGGTTTTCTCATCCACCTTCTGTTTACATAAACGTGTAGCACCCCCACAAAATCATCCTCAGTGGTTATGAAAAACTGAGGGGCTGGCTCAGCAGTTAAGAGCACTGGCTGCTCTTTCAGAGGACCTGAGTTTGATTCCCAAGTACCCACATGGCAGTTCACAACTTTTCAGGACTCCAGTTCCAAGGGATCCAATGCCCTGTTCTGACCTCCCAGGGCAACAAGCACACACATGGTGCATATACATACATGCAAGCAGAACACACACAAATAAATAAATCTTAAAAAAAAAACAAAAAAAAAACAACAGAATACTAGTCGTAATAAAGAAGTATCCACTGTGGGGGTATTATCAGTAGCTTGTTAATTCTCGACATGGTGAAATCTCAGAACAGTAATCAAATCACGTGCCCATCTATTTGGAAAAATATAGAATAGAACCATTCAACTTTAGAACGGTTCAAGTTCTTTTTCAGGTCCACCAGGGAGAACCCACAGCTTGGTTCTCTTATTCTGGGTAAAGGCAGCCTGTGTGTACCATGCTGTGCTTCTGTGCCCATTACTCCAAGCTTCTGACATTCCAGCACCCTCATCCCTCAGCGGCCTTTAAAATTTAGATGCATTTCCCTTCCTTTTTCCTTTGAAAGTTTTGTGTTTCCTAGTGGTACTGCGGATGGAACTCGGGGCCTCACGCTTGCCAGGTGAGTGCTCTAACACCGAGCTCCAGCCTCAGCCTGTTCTGTGAGCTTTGTCAGAAGCAAGCAGTTACTTCCTTAGCCTCAATGAGGATTAAAAATAAAACAACTGCTGGGCATGGTGGTGTACTCCGTTAGTACCAGCACTTGGGAGGCAGAGGTAGATGGATCTCTAAGTTCAAGGCCAATCTGGTTTACAGAGTGAGTTTCAGGACAGCTGGGACTACACTGAGAAACTCTGTCTCAAAAAACTCAACAACAAAAACAAATCAACAAAACACAGGCATCCTACAAGACAATTTTAAGCTTTGGGTGTGGCTACTATTTTCTCTATATCAGCAGCAATATGAACTCCAGTGCAAGCAGTGTTTCACTGAGTTCACTTTGGTAGGAGTAACAAAAATGACAAAATCTTTCTGGTAATAAACACTAAATGATACGTGTGATGGAGAAACTGATGCTATTTGACTCTGTGGCCACCCAGGTACGAACTGGTCATGTTCTTCACAGGTGGCCTTGCCATCGGGACATTCTTCTATCTGGAGTGCTAGCTATGTCTTTACTGCTGGTTTCATGGAATTCTGTAAGGCCTGTCTGAATGGGTATCATTTTACATGTCTAAACACACAGAAGGACACTGACGGACCACTCTCCAGGGAGGACAAATGGATTACCTACCCTTCGGGCATGGATTTTTGTCTGTAAGTGCCACCCCCGGAGCCAGTCTCACTGGATGAAGACAGGTTGCTGGGGGAATTACGGCACTGGGATCTTGCCAGAGCCATGGATGAGACGGTCACATAGATGTCCGAGCCAGGAGACAGCCTGCAAGTATGAAGTGAAAATCTGACGTCAACAAGTCAGGGAGAAACATCCCAGGCAGCTCACGGCAGAAGGTACCATACAAATGCCACAAAGGCAGTGGCCCCATGGGAACAGTGAAAATGAAGCCAGCTGGACGCCCACAAGAGAAACCTCCCCTAACACTGCTCCTAAGAGAACAGTTGGAAAACTGCCTCAAAGGGGGGTGAAACACATCAAAATTATAGAGGGAAAGACCTAGAAAACATACAAGCTTCCAAAAAAGCTGCCAGGATTCAATCAGGTAAAGTGCCAGGCAGTCTCCAGGTTGGCAGGGGGGAGGATAACTGGACCCTAGTGACACTAACCAGCAGCAGTTAACTCCAGTTCCTCACACCGCCCCTCACAGCCACCGCAAGAGCACATTCTCCACGTGTTTCTCTGTTTTCCTATTTTGTTACTCAAAGTTTACAGTATTGGTTTTTATAATTTTGGTTGATAGTATTATCATGCTAAAAAGCTCCATAGGAAAAAAGATACTATGGATTCAATTAAAATTGGATTTAATTAAAACGGCACACTTAGATAATTTCACAGGAGAGACAGATGTGCTGTCTTAGCCTCAGTTATTGGTCAACTGACCAACAAGGCAGAGGCTGGAGTTCTGTGGGCAGGACAGACAGAGCTCCCTCAATCTTCTCTATTCTAATGGGCAATAGGGCGGCCACAGGGATATCTGTGAGTGTTGACAACTGTGACCAGGCTCAATAACAAAGTGACTTCATTTCAAAAGCAAATGCCTGCAGGTGCCTGGTCTCCCACTAGGAAAGGCTGGTTCTAGGTGATAGCTGAAGAAACAGGTTCTAAGTCACTAATCCCAGTTCACGATAGGCCGTGTTTCTTGGCTAAGTCTACTGCATTTTGTGTGAACTGCTGTCCATAGATAACATAGGGATTTCTTCTACTAAGAGACAGTCTGGATGGATTCGGCACAGTCAACAGACTTCAGTTCTGAGCAGGGTGGAAACCCTGGGCCAGAAACTGGCTGACTGGAATCCGGCCATTCCTCCAGTGAGTCTACAGATGGGAAGGAGTTTAGCACAGGATGTGGCAGCAGGGCTGACAGAACCACACCAGGATGCTTTTCCAGTGGAGATAGTAAGGACAGCTGCTAGCAGTCTAACTCGGCTTTTATCTGTGAGGTAGATCTGAGTTCTCTCTGGCTGTCTCCTAGACTTGGCTCCTTAATCCTCTCCTCAGCAATTCAAATCACGCCTCTTCAAAACTAACAGCTTTTTCCCCCCATGTCAGGAGCTGAAACAGTCCCTCCTCTATGTGTTATATCAAGCTAAGCCTCCTGAAACATTTCCCTGTCTCTCTCTCATCTTTCAGATTTAACAGTCCTAATAATGCTGCACATTATTCACTACACACAATCTGTGCCCTGGCACCCTGGATAATGGTCTTGAAAACACAAAGGCTGAAGCCAGGCTCCACCATAACTGCCCCCTGACCCTTTCATCCAAATCTCCTGGCTTCCAGGCTCTTTCCATGTGATCCCTCCAATAGCTCCTTCCAATGCTCTTGTACCATGTCAAACAACTGCCAGGAGCTTCTCCAAAGTCTCCTTTTGTCCACAGGATAAAGGACCAAAACCCCGCCACCTTCTTCAAGGCCCTGAACCATCTGACCTGATTTCACTCTCACCTCCATGCCCCCTTACTTGCCCCCTTACTTGCTCCCTGTACCTTGTTTCTGGATAGGCTGACTGGGTACCAGGACTCATCGTGCCATTGTGCCCACTTTCATTCATTTGCTGTCTACCTAGAATGCTTTCCTCTCTTCCTACTGACCCCAACTCCAATATTATATGTGAATGTACAGAGCAGAACCTCTTCATATCCCATAGTAGTCTATTCCGTCCACCATCACAGCACATTACAGAGAATGGCCGGTCCTGACAGCACAGGACCGAGCCTTATCTTCATCTTAGGTGTGTGAATTCTGGCTGTATGCACATAGGTACACCACTCGTATGCCTGGTATTCTTGAGGACAGAATAGGGTGTTGATTTCCAGAACGTAGGGAGCCACCCCAGGGGTGCTGAGAACTGAACCTAGTCCTGTCCTCTGGAAGAGCAGCAAGTGCTGTTAATCCATCCCCCAAACCTGCCCCGTCCAGGGGTTCCCACCCATGGAAGATCTAGAAGAGCTGAAAAAGCATTGGTTTTTAGAATCTGTAATTTTCTAAAAGCAATTATAATCAAATTAGTGTTCTTTCTTAACTGCTGAAACAGAAATGGAGCTACAGAAATGGGCCTAAGGTCATAGCACAAAACTAATATTGCTGCAGATGGTGAGAGAACTGCCTAGCATGAGGCTCTGAGCATGAACTTAGGACAAGCGGAATACTAGTGTCTGGAGACTGTGATGGGAAGCCACACCAGGCCACCTTCAAGCATCCTCCACCATCATCACAAGCCATGCTGCTTGTGGTTAATGTCTAATCACCACAGGGTTTTCCAGATAACGCAGGGTGAAAGACTTGCTGCCGTGTGGCATCTGCTCCTGTCATCGTTCTTGTTTTGCCACTCAGACCTTACTGAGGGTGTCAGGACCCAGGTGTCTGAAGGCATCTGTGGTGCTGAGTGATCAGAGAAACCTAGTTCAGCCACATCTGAGGTATAAAAACATCTGGATGTTTTACCTGCAGGTTTATCTGGGAGCCCTGTGCATGCAGTACCTATAGAAAACAGAAGAGGGGACCAGATCTCCTGGAACTGAGTTATAGACAATTGGAAGCCACAATGTGGATGCTGGGAACCAAAGCAGGTTCTCTGAAACAGCAGCCGGTGCTGTTAACCACTGAGTCATCACTCCAGCCCCCAGTACTGTTTTGATAGCAGAGTGATCAAGACATACTTGGGCACCAAAAATGGATGTTCTTATACTCTCTTCTACTAAGGCTTTTCTCAGATTTCTCACAGTCCACTCAGAAATAACCAGGACTGGAGAGGAGGAACAGGGGAGAGTGCAAGCTACAAACAAGAAAACCGAGTAAGGACTGGGAACAGCAGAGATCCAAGGCAACACGCTGCCACTCGTCCTTCCGCCCCAGAGTCTGTTGTCCATGTGCAGCTAACACTGACAGACTCCAGGGCGGCTCCATTTTGTACAGCTTTGATCCTGTGACTGCAAAAAGGAAGAAATGCTAGAGAGAGAGAAGCAGGATGGCAGAAGGGTATGAACCAGCTAGGGACAATGGGACATCTAGGCAGCTGGGTCATATCAATGGGATGGTAAAATGTTTAGTCATATGGCTCCTTGGGCAAAGTTAAGATATAACTTTTCTCTTTGGCTTTAGAACTTGCTTTCTGTAGCATGCTCTCCAAAACATACTTTAAACTAAAACACTTCACACTCATTCTCAACATCAATTCTTTTACTTGGCAAATGTATCAGAAAATTCTATTTGGTTACTGGAGTTAGCCCAAAGGGCGGGGGCGGGGGGGGGAGAGGGGGACCAGCCTTTCCAGAAGGCTGGCATCCACCTCTCTTCTGCATTTGTGCAACTCAATAGTGGCTTTGTTTTCTGACTGTCCACATGCAGAGGACACACACTGGGCAGCTGGAGGGAAGCCATCTCAGCGTGTTTACATTTCCAAATACACGAGTGCTGGGCAAAGAAAATGCAGAACTGGCTTCATCCTGTGACATACAGCTCTGCGGTTTTCAATACTGTGACTCTGATACCGCCACACCAATGTTTAAAAGCATAAGGAGCAGAAGGCATGACTGCCTGGGAGCCGGCAGTCCAGTTCTTCAGAGTTGGAGGCTAGCTGTTGCTCGGCTTTGTGCCACTCTGGAGTGGTGCTCTGAAAAGGGAAGGAATCTCTTCTCACTGGATTTCAGCACACTACCTCACTAACCTGTGCTGGGCCCTCATGGCCTAAGCATATCTGTGTAAGGGACTACTGTGCCTAGCTAAGAATAAGGTCACAGAGCCTTTTCCTCTAAAATAATCCAGCTCTACCTGCTTTGTTCTGTTTTAAAGGGAGCAAAATACTGAATATTAATGACCACATAAGTTTAGAGAATGAAGATTAAATACCTTTCAATGCTATGAAATCCATCAATCCCACAGAAAATAAACAATAATATTGGTGTGTGTGTGTGTGTGTGTGTGTGTGTGTGTGTGTGTGTTTGTAAAGGCTAAAAGCTGGAGCATAACACTGGCTATTGTCCCTCAAGATTATCCCAATACTTATTTGAGATAGGGTCTATCACTGGATGATGGGGGAAATCCATCAATAGTCTATAAAGTCAGTGAGCTGCAATAATAACCAGTGTTACAAGCTATGTCCATGGGTATAATAATGGCATAAATGTTATGGGGGGCAACCAACCACATTCTCACTGGATTTAAGGTCTGCTCCACAGGAAGAAACATATGCCTGGAACCGTAATCTAAGAACCCATGGCTGAACCTACTATTATGCTAAATGGACACAGTATCAAACTGCCCTCTAAATTCCTCTCTCTCTACCCATAGATCAGTTCAGTACTCACACCTCATCAGAGAAGTTTCTCTGTGTTGTGGGCAGTAATTAACAAAGAAACTCATAACTGGTCAGTGTGGAGAGAAAAAAAAATGACTGGAGTGTTTGGCCACAAATGGGACATCAAACTGTCTCCTCAAGGCTCAAGGACCATGGTAGAAGAGGAAGTAGAAAGATTATAAGAGCCAGAGGTCCGGGAGGAACAGACTGAAACAGTGTCTCCTGGACATACAGGACAGCTGTACTCATGAACTCACAGCAGCTGTGCAAGTCTAGCATGTAGGGGAAAGAAACCCCTAAGCTCCTACTTTCAAGTGTGCTGGTTTGAATGAGAATGGCACCCATAGGCTCATCTTTAACTACTTGGTCCCCAGATGGTGAAACTGTTTGGTAAAGATTATTAAGTATGGCCTTGTTGGAAGAAAAATGGCACTGCAAGTGGCCTTTGAGGTTTCAAAAGCTCATG